ACACATATTCCCATACTGGCCAAAGTTGAAGGGTATGGAAATCCAGAAAAAAAACTCTTACGTGAGACTCGGACAATGCCTGTTGGTAATTTATGGATCTATACTTGAAGCTTACAAAGAAGGAAGGCAGAGTTTTGTAATTTTAACAACTAATGGAATACAACTTCCACTTACGATCCATTTCAAAGATGATATCCTCCCCTGGGGCTCAGCGCAAGGGGTCAGAATCTCTATATTTGACCATTTTTACGATATATGAGACATACGGCTGTGGAAAGGATATAGCATGAAATGACTTCATTACATGTACGTTCATGTGTTGCAATCAGCATGTTATGGTAATATTTTTAGAATACGGTAAACGAATTCACGTGTTTTAGTCTTTTAAAATTTAAAAGTTTGAGTCAAAATCTAAATTTCTATTTCTCTAAAATATTTTGTAAATCTGCAAAATATGCAAAAATTATAACTTTAAGTATTATATGTATCTGGTTAAGGAGATTCTAATCGTAAAGTATTCATATCGGTTTCCAAAAATGTGTTCCGATGCCGGGAATCGAACCCGGGCCGCCTGGGTGAAAACCAGGAATCCTAACCACTAGACCACATCGGAAGTTGAAATAATGGAATTGTAATCCGAGTATTACCAATCAAACAATATTGAATAAATGAAAGGGATGTTGAAAATGAATTATAGAAGACATTATACAAAGAAATGACTGATATTATTTCAAATTTGTTCTCAAAATATTCAAATGATGATGTTTCAAATTTATAACTATAACAACATATAACTATAAAGTGGAGAGAAGAGTGTTTCATTAAAATCATGTACATGTATCATGATGGCACTAATATCAGGCACGTAAGAACTGGGGGGGGGGGGCATGGGGTTAATTTTTGTGACTGTTGTTATTATCATTGTTTATCAAGGTTTTGATTGGCAGAAAAAAATATATTCCGTGATTCATATGCTCATTGCCAAATGCATGACCTATACATGTGCAAGTTTATGTTCCAAGCGAGGTAACTCATGTAAGGACCCTCTCTACGCTGGACAGGGCACTGGTCCATCATTTGCACTGTGTACATAAATTGTCATTAATTCAAGTATTCTAAACATTAAAATTTGACCTAGATTAGTGAAGAGCAATTGAAAACTTTATTTGCCGGTGTTTTCACCATTTGAGTAAGCAAACGCAACTTTTCTTTTATCAGTACCGTTGTCTTTGAGGATTTTATTCCTTGGTAAAAAAAGGCACGTATAAAATGAACTAGATTGTTTTAATATGTACTCCATTACACTTAATAAATTTCTAAAAGTCCAAAAAAAAAAACATTGTCCTATATGTATAGAGAGGGTCCACTGGCAGCAAATGTGTAAGCAAATGCATGCAATTATGGAAGGGCAGACTTTCATGAACTGATATAGGTGGTTCCCCGAAATATTATACCCTCAGCCTTTTTATTTATAAGGCCCGTAGAACACGGGACGGCCGCCCCCGCCGCCCCCCTTTTTTCTGAGTATAGAATTTGGCTATTGTAAATTTTCCTTTAGACGCTGGTAACCGCGAAATCTGAACCGACGTTGATCACAGGTGCTTGAGGACAGGACCCCTGCCTATTCGACTTCTTCCCCCCCCCCCCCCTAAACTATCTTCAAGCACCTGTAATCAATGTCGGTTCAGATTGCAGGTCAGTAGGAAGCAATTTCAGTTTTTGGGGAACACCAATAAATTTCACTTGGGGCACTACGAAGCAAAAATTCTTTGACAGCCCAAAAGAAAAAAGTCACCGGACATACTCATTGAGGGGGTGCATCAGAGAAGAAGTTTTGTGTTTTCTATAATTGTTGGAAGACCCCCCCCCCCCGGTTCCTACGGCCATGGACCTTAGTGTCTACTGTCTAAGGCAACAACCTTTAAAGAATGATTACGATTATTAATTATACCGGTATATACATGTAATCATGAGAAACGCCAAATAAAAAGGTTAAAATTATACTCGTGGAGTATCCCATAATTCGGTGATGCACTTTTTGATGCATTTTTTTATCTTCCCATCAGGAAATAGTACTCGGTACCAAAATTGTTTTCCGATGCCGGGAATCGAACCCGGGCCGCCTGGGTGAAAACCAGGAATCCTAACCACTAGACCACATCGGAATATGCTAGGTAAAGAATAGTGCCAAAATAATTCGTTAAGAGGGATTGTTGCCTGGTGTCTGACATGCATAATGAAATGTTCAAAGTACATGTATATTGCTTAAATGTCTTAAAAGTTTTATATTTAGATTTTTAGGATGTTTAAGATCATATTTTTCTTTTCTTCTCATAATTGTAAATCTTAAAGTGACTTGGAAATCTAGCAAGGACTATATTTTTGGTGGAATGGCGGGCGGCGTATGAAAATTTCTTCTTTTCTGCTTTTCAAAATTACTACAGAGCAATGAATTTAATTGGCATATTTAAACAATAGAAGATTAAAAGAAATTTTTAAAGTGACTGAAATTAATAATTATGGACTAAAGTTTTAAATTAAATAAATCAAATATGATTTTCTAAACGGATAGCAATCTTATTATGGCCTTTGAAAGTTTCGAATCTACGAACAGATTTGAGCAAAATGTACTTAAAAAGGTTTCTTCTCTTACTAAACGGTCAAAACTTTTTTTTTCATCAATTTGTATCTTTTCATGACTACTTTTAATATTTTACCATATATAAAAATAAGAAAATTTTAAATATACGAAGCATATAAAAATAACTAATGTTACTTAAACATTCAAGAAAAAGGAGGAAATTTGGGATAGTCATATCTATTTAGTTTAATTAGGTATCTAAGTTTGGTAGTGTTTTTTAATTGTTAATGTCAGAGGAATTATCCGGACAAATATCTTCCCTATAAGTAATTTTTTTGCAGAGAGAGAGAGAGATTACATGTATGTCCAACAGCTCGTATTTTTCTAATAAATTATCAAAATCCAGTAAGTATGCACATTCAGATTGAATACATGTATCTTGAATTGAAAAGGAGATGAGCGAAAGTTCACAAAACTTACATGTGTCCCCGGGTAAACACGTAAAATCATAATACCAAATAAGCTTTTTTAGAAGCCAAGCATTCCTACCCCCGGGGGACATGATTTTAACAAAATTGAATCTATACTATCTGAAGATTCTTCTGAATTTAATAACTAATCTTGGCTCTGCTGTTCTTGGGAAGACTAAATTTTTCCAATGTATTCCTTTGTATAATTTTTTATCCCCTGCTGTGGCCCCTCTCTTCATTCTGGGGGTCATGATTTGAACAATTTTGAATTTACTTAACCTGAGGATACTTCTGTATTTCAAATATGCCCATTCAGGGCTTTGTTGTTCTTGAGAAAAGATTTTTATTGATTTTTTTCCTATACATTCCTAATGTATAACTCTGATTGCCCATTGTGGCCGCAGTCAACCCCCGGGATGTCATGATTTGAACAAGCTTCAATATACATGTACACTACCTGTAGATGCTTCTGTATTAATATGACTAATCATGGCTTTGCTGTTCTTGAGAGGAAGATTTTCAAAATTTTTTCCTACATATTTCTATGTAAAACTTTGATCACCCATTGTGGCTCCACCCTACACCCACGGGTCATGATTTGGACAAACTTGAATCTACACTACCTAAGAATACTTCCATATAAATATGACTAATCATGGCTTTGCTATAATTGAGAAGATTTTTAAAGATTTGTTAAACTTTGATCATCCAGTGTAGCCACATCCTACCCCAGGAAACATGATTTGAACAAACTTGAATCTTCACTACCGAAGAATGCTACAGGTCTATAAATTTGACCAATCAAGCTTTGCTGTTCTTATGAAGAGGATCTTTAAAGAATTTTCTTTTCATATGAAAAACTTTGAACACCCATTGTGGCCCCACTCTACCCCTCAGGGTCATGATTTGAACAAACTTGAATACTCTACATGAGGATGCTTCCACATAAGTTTCATATTTTCTGGCCAAGTGGTTCTTGAGAAGATTTTTAAAAGATTCATAATTATCTCCCCTTGTCCCTTCATTCGAGCAAACTTGAATTCCCTTTACCCAAGGATACTTTGTAGCAAATTTGGTTAAAATTGGATCAGTGGTTCTTGAGAAAAAGTCAAAAATGTGAAAAGCTTACAGACGGATGCCGAGAAATATGATCAGAAAAGCTCACTTGAGCCTTCTGCTCAGGTGAGCTTAAAAGTAGGGACGGGGCCTTTCAGTGAACATTTTTATACTAGAAAATGTTCAGAAAAAAATTGAGGGGGGGGGGGGCACCCCTTGATACCATGTGCCTGTTTGTCCAGAGTCTCTGTTTCACAACACAGTGAGAATATTTAACGCATATATAACATTATATTTATCGTAACAAACTGCCTTTTTTTCAACAAAGATCCTGCATCAAATACCTTTTGTATTTCTTACAAAAGTAGGTTACTGTCTGGATAATATTCACTCTCCTGCTTTAGATGCATAATCTAAATAAAGGTCCAACAGAGCAGAATTTTTCAGCAAATTGTTCATGAGGTATTCAGCATCAACAGAGGGGGCACTATGTTAATAAAAACAATCTTGGAAGGAAGGTGGATTCAGTGCCCAGAGACACACATCTTATTACATGTACTGGACAGGATTGCAAGAATTTTTAATCCTTTTCGTATTCTTAAGTCAAAACTTTTACTCCCTTCCTATCTGGACCCCTTTAACTCTTGAGGCAGTTTGGCTTCCTAAATCATTTTATAGTTTTAATTAAAAATAAAATAACGGGAAATCCTTAAATGAGCCTTTAAATTACAATTAATGACTGTCCCGACTGTACAAACATCAAAAGTTTTTAATCTTAGCTGCCTCCCCCCCCCCCCCCCCCAAGAAAAACCAAAAAAAACACCTCCACTCTCACAGAAACCCAGCACTCACAAATGAAATTGTTTTGCTTCGTCTAAAGAACAAACATTGGCTAAATCAGACATGTAGCTAGCTACTGCTTAGTCTCAAACATGTCAATTATTTTATTTCCATAGAATATTAAAAGAACATACAACTTTTAATACAATCCCAGTGCTAACGAACACCTGGGTCTCACTTGTTCTTCACTTATACATATAATAATGTACACAACTGATACAACTATTAAACAATTTATAAAATGTACAATCAAACATACATACATGTATTATAAAAAATCTTGACGTCCTAACATGGATCTGAGCTAATTCATTTTGTTTTAACAGAAAATGGGTCAAATTTATATTTTGAAATACACAAACAATACACAAACAATTTGTGATAGATAAATTATCAATGTTGTTGTCATGTATATAAATAAAAGTACTCAGCTTCTAGACTACCATTTTATAAAATCTAAATATCTAACTCATTCAAAAGAAGGATTTCTCCCTAGTGTCCCTTGTATACAGTAAAAAAATTTTTGAAACTGGAAAATGCTCATCACTGATTATAATAAAAAAAAATAAAGATGAAGATGATGAATTTAACTGATGATGAAATCAGAATCCTTCCCATTGCAAAGACTGATGTATGGTAAGAAAGAAAATGATTTTTAAAATGATGTGTGATTAATGCGTTACAGCATTAAGTGGTTCTGCCTTGATGCTGTTGAAGTCTAATCCATTGTCTGTGTCATCATCAATTTCCCCTATAACAGCTCTATGAAGAGAAAAAGGAAATACATTGCATACCTAGGATTCTCTCTCTTTTTTCCTACATGTACTACAGTGTATCATTACAATTAAATACAAGTTAAATATATTTAAAGAAGAATCATATACTCTTAGAAAACAACTTATCCTTGTTACAATGTAAACTTAGAAAATGGATAAATCCTTAAAAAATATTTAAACAAAATTGTATGTTTTTCTTGTAATTTTAAGCCATCTCTCTTGATTTTGACCTTAGCACTTATGACGAACATCACGGTTGTACTCACATATAATATTCCCTTCTACTTCCACAAAAGTGCAAGGCCTTATTGGCATTATTGCAATGGTTGGTAAAAAAAAAAATGTACTTACACATTATCTCCCCTGATGATGTATAATCCCAGTAAAACTTGTTCCTCCCCCTGTGATGTACTTACACATTATCTCCCCTGATGATGTATAATCCCACTACAACTTGTTCCACTCCCTGTGATGTACTTACACATTATCTCCCCTGATGATGTATAATCCCAGTATGACTTGCTCCACTCCCTGTGATGTACTGTAAACTCTTTCATGGCTCTCATCAAGAATTAAGTTTATGGTCTGATCAAAACCCTTCAAGGTTCCCTATAAAGAAACAGAGAATTTTAGACCAGATCTACATGGCAGGACCAACCTCTTCCATTCCTGTGCACATGGAATAAATTTGGAAAATTTGAAGCAGAAAAAGCATACACTGAATGTTTTCATGCATGTAAAATTGTATATAATAATGAAAATTCTGATGAAGTTGAATCAGAGGTGGCCTTATTTTTTACTTAATTTTATGAACACAAGTTTTCTACTTATCAAAGTGATACAGTCTTTTATGGACTGGATTTGTTTGTAACAGGAAAAAAGAAAAATGCAACGGACCAGACCGGGATTCAAACTAAGGTTGCCAGAATCTCCAGTCAGGAGCTCTACCATCTGAGCTGATCGAATGTGTCTGTTCACCACAGGTTAATTAATGCAATAAACAGAAGGTATTTATACCTACCACAATTATTCTTCCATCAGCTGTTACTATGGAAACAGTTCCTAGATGATTGGTTAAGGGCATAATTCAAAATTATTACTTTCAATACTAAGCCTAAGCAAAGTTCTACAAACACATTAGTGCTTTGTATTATTCACCCTATTTGTACTTCACTTCAGTTTTGATTTGTATGAAAACTTTCATTTTTAAATTTTATACATGCATGAAGCTACGAGTTTGTATGCATTTTTGTTACTTGGAAACAATCTACCACACGTTGGTTCTCATAATGTCTGTACACAAAACTATTAGGGCCTAATTTATTCTCACCATTGGCATTGAGTATATGTACATGGTTAACTTCCAAAAGTAAATCAAACATGACATGTGTCGTGTCAATCATAGTTATATCGACACAAGCATATACACAGCTAACAGCAAAAAACAAATGGCACTCTTGTTGATTTTGTACATGTATACCTTTTGCCAGAAGTGGCTAAGCCTAAGGCCTAGCAGCAGTGAAAACTGAAACATGTGAAAAAGGATACATATTATGATACATCCCTAATTATTAAAAGCCCGTATTAACCATGGCTTATTAGAAACATGGGGATTTAGCAATACCTAAGACATATTACTTAATCAAACAAATAAGAAGGATACGGTTGACATAAGACTCCAGTGCCGATGCCATACTCGAAACGCTTTCAAAACGACTGCAAATATACGAGTTATCTTCTCTTTGATTGAAGAGGGAGAAGTAAGTGTAGTCTCGTTCAACCAGACGCTCGGCTGTCTCCGTAAATCTCCGACGAGCTCGTCGGAGATTTACGGAGACAGCCGAGCGTCTGGTTGAACGAGACTAAAGTAAGTGTTGATCGATCTGGACGAAAATCAGAATTACTACTGGCATTGACGTAAAAGAAAATACTTTTCAATTGCATAAAAATATTATTTTAAATTTTCAATATGAAAGAATATAGTCAATTCATACACATATGAGACTATAATTATAAAATAATCGGAAAAGATTATTAATAATAACATACCCTTCCATGCACATGCGCGAAAAAGAGAAAAATGTCTGCGCCCTTGAAAATGTGATTGCATACTGATTCATACTCAGAGTTCAGTTGATATTGACTGTTAAAAGGGGACAACATGGCAGCGTTGTTCTTTAAGCAGACATCTTGTTTACTGAATGCAGTCAGTGAAAATCTGAAACGTGTAATATGCTGTTCAGAAAGGTAAATATCTCGGGCAACGGTAGTGACAAATAGGCCTATAAATGAAATATTCTGCAGCTGACAGGTCTGGTACAATCACTAGATTTATCTACGTAGCTTGAATTACCTACATAGCTTTATTTACTTACCTGAAGTAGCTTTATTTAGCTACTAAATCAAACTTATTTCTTAAATTAGCATTTTTCCCAGAAAGTGCAGAACTTTGATGCCGTGATAATCTTCAACTTTGATCTCATCTGAAAACAATTCATGAAAAAATCACTTTTGGATTAGTTAGAATAATCTAACGTTAACTGTGTCTCGGGACAAGCCCTCACCATTTTTTGTATTTTTAAAATAAAAAGCAAAATTGTGAAAAGTTGCCTTGAAATAGCTAAATAAAGCTACCTGAGGTAGGTAAATAAAGCTACAGTAAGTAATTTTAGCTAAGTAGCGAAATGTACTGATTGTACTGGACCTGGCTGACAAACAATCCACCACAGGGTCTTCAGGCATTACAATCTGTCATTCTGAACAAAATCAGATGTATAGTGTAGACCTTATAATATAAATAAGGAAGAAGGAATCTAACAAGTCGCTATCAATTTGTCAATGCATCTCTTCATACTTTTAAAACTTTTATTTGTTTTTGTTTGTTTTGTTTTTGTGTTTTCTTTAAAGGGTAGACTTTACTTTACCGGTCCTCAGATCTGCAAGATTCGCCACTCATCGCACTGTGACATTAGATTTACGTCACTCAACTGATAAGAGTTAGTCTTACACATTTTTCGACATTTTAGTCGTTGACAATTATTTTTTGTCTCCTTTTCACTGAATACACATTATTTATTAATTTTTTCAGAGAACAAGGTTAAAAACTTTGTTCAAAAAACAAACTTTTAACCGAAGAATTTAATTTTGGGGGGCAAAAAGGCTTTAAACCTCATACTTTTTATTTTTTGATCACTCAGGCGATCACATATATATTGAAGTCACCTTTGGCGACACTATATTTTAGCTGTTTTTTTGGGGACCAGTAAAGGAAAGTTGTTCCTTTACATATAGGCCTAAATATTTTGTCAGCCTATCTTAATTAAAAAAAAAATCTGTCTTAAATTGCCTTCTCCTGACCCAGGTAAAAAAAAAAAAATTGGGTAAGAACTTAGAAGGTAGCTTAAAAAAATACTGACCCAGGTAAAAAAATATTGGGTAAGAAGGAAGCTTAAAAAAAATGCAAATAATAAAATATCAGATAAAAATACAGTTGAACTTTGGTATCTCGAACAATATCTTGAATACCAGAATACTTATTCTTTTAAGTACTTTACCATGGATATCTTGAATACTGTAGATTCCTAAATATACGCGAGGACTTAATTATTGCGTAATTACGCGAAAAGAATTACTCGCGAAATAAAATTACTCGCTTTAATTTTTGTGGTACTGAAATCCATATAAATATCTTCATCAAGCCTCCACTCGCGAATTATACGTCTCGCGATTTGTCGTCTAAGGGCCATTTCGCGATATTAAGTACTCGCGTAAAATAAGGAATCTACAGTACTCAGATATCTCAAAGTTTTTTCTCAGTCCTAGGGAGTTCGAGATAACGAGATTTAACTGTAGTCATCGATTGGAAGAGAAAATTTCTAAATGAATTGAAAAAATAGTCATTTCTAGGTGGATTAAAAAAGTTTTTGAGGCTACATGTAGCCACTTTTTAGTCAGTTGGTTAGGAAAAGGAAAACAGATGGCCTTGAAAAAAAGGCAAATGTTACCCCTTATTTTCATAAATTGTTTACTTAATTTTGTTAAAACTTTGAAAAAAAATTGAATTTCAGAGAATCTGGTTGCTGTTGTTAACCCCTACCTACACCATTTTTTTTCCCATGCAAATATTTCATTCATTACCTTGAAATTTTCATGCACATGTCATCCATTACACTCTATTTTAGGGTAACTTTTTAAAATTTAATTGCTTCTGCTCATTCTCACACTATTTGAATGACTGTTGACAGTCCATCTCGAGATATCAGATCCATTTTAGATGGACATTCTTTATGTTTCAGCTCCAGACTTTAGCTAAAGAACACACTTATCTACTATACAGAAAAAAAACTATGACATCCAAAAGAAAACAGTTCAAAATTCCAACTGTTGATGAAATAAAAGAGAATCCTAGTGCTTCATCAGTAAGCACATTCAGCAAATTTCAACAAATGAAGAAAGAAGGCAAAGTGGCTGATGCATGTGACCTTGATAAATCCTTAAGAGCTGACAAGAAACCTGAATCAAGCTTAGTTCAACCAAAACCTGCAACATCTGTGATCCAAAGAAGGAAGGAGTTGCCACTGAGTTCAAAGTCCCTGATCCAGAGTGGGAAAGAGTTGCCACAGAGTTCAAAATCTCTAATCCAGAGTGGGAAAGAGGTGCCACAGAGTTCTTCAGTACCAAGCTCCTTAAAATCCGTGATTGAGAGTGGTCTACCTTCTACATCCACAGCTGCCACAGAAACAGGCATACCAACAGCTGTTAAATCTTTGAATTCTAATAGTATCATTGTGAATTCCAGACAAAGAGGAAATCCAATACTCAAATTTATCCGCAGCATTCCCTATGAGTTTGGAGACATAATTCCTGACTATGAAATGGGAAAAACAGCTTGTGCCTTGTTTCTGAGTCTTCGTTATCACCAACTTAATCCAAACTACATTCATGAACGCTTAAAGCAATTACGCAGATACTATGAGCTTAGAGTGCTACTGGTGCAGGTCGATATCAAAGAACCCCATCATCTTGTGAAAGAATTAGCAAAAATTTGTATCTTGGCAGACTGTACCCTGATTTTAGCATTCTCACCGGAAGAGGCAGGGCGCTATTTGGAAACATACAAAGTTTACGAGCACAAACCACCTGAGGCTATCATGGAGAAAACGGAGAAGGACTACATGTCAAAGGTCACAGAGTGTTTGACCTCTGTGAGGTCAGTTAACAAGACAGATGCTATGACATTGTTGAACACATTTCACACAATGGAAGGTGTATTGAAGGCAACCCAAGAGGACCTGAGCTTCTGTCCTGGATTCGGACCACAAAAAGCCAAGAGAGCATTTGATCTGTTCAATGAACCATTCCTAAAATCCAAGAAAAAGAAATGAAAGCAATAAATTTATATGTATATTTATAAAGCAATTTTCCAATGATTTGCATTGTACATGATAAGTCATGATGTGTATAATATACATTGCTAATTGCATTGATTATATTAGTGTCATGTAAAAATGTTCGATTATTTGGTATCATTGCACTTGCATTTCTGTATTTATACATGCAAATACTAAATAAACATAAGTTTTAAAATAATATTTGTTTGTGTGTCAATTGGCTTTTATTGAAACAAATTAAAGTGGCCCACTTTTTTGTTTTGTATTGTTTTGTTTTTTGTAGCTGAAGCATTGTTTACAAAAAGAAAAAAAAAATACAGTATATGATTATAATTTTCATTTGGATAAAAAATGCTGAGTGATAGGTTTACTATTTTTTTGAATTGTTTATTTCTTTGTTTTCTTTTCTTGTTTCTTTCTTTCCTCTCTTTCTTTTCTTTTCTTTTCTTTTTTTTTTTTTTTTTTTTAAACTGAAATTGAAGGTAGATAATGTAAGGAATGTGTTTCAACTACGGTATATCTGACAATCAGTTAATTTGATTTAGATATTTAAGTTGTGATAAATGAATGGTGTAAAGATATAATTTTTATGTGAAGTGTTGAAGTTCACCTGAAATTTGTACAACATTTGCATCAGTTGTTTGCATGGCAAAAGGATAACAGAAAGAGATTAACAAAGAAAAATGTGCCTACATTCATGAAATTATAAATGACCTTATTAATTTTTCAAAAGATTTATATTTTCTTGATTTTAATTGTAGATCATTTAGACTTTACACATACAGACCTAGGAGAAGGTTTAAGACATTGAGAAGACCACATTATTATGTCCCTATGGGGCGCCCCATCCTCCCACCTGATGGAAAGTATACCATTGAACCACTACCATTTATTCGCAGTGGTGGAAGAGATCTCAATGGTAATTGTTACAAATTAATTGGAAATGTCTACATGCTAATAATACAACTGATACAGATTAAAATAGATCATCCACTAGCACCTGCATGTGGTGTTAATGTCTCCCAATTGATTCATTGGTCATGAAAATGTTCTGAGTATGATCTTGATTTCTGAAGAATGGCCTGTGTGCAAAGTTTATATAGAGAGTTCCCTCCCTTGTCAGGCAAGAGTAATATATATGTTAATTCAATAGATGAATTTTTACAGGAAAAACTGTAAATGCGAAAATAGGAGGAGGACCTAAGGTAAACTGGTACATGAGGGATAACAGCTACCCCGACACAAAGGGAGATAAACCACTGGAGGAGAGGGTGCTGCGTATCCTCCCAGACCCAGTCAGGACAGCGCACCTGGCCCTTGTCGGAAGTGGAAATAATAAACGTTACATCATTGCCACCCAAAACATGAAAGAGGGGGATCTTGTAAAAGTCAGCAAGGAAATTCCTACCATCTCAGGTACCAAGATACTTTAAATTAACTGGAGAATTGGCATTCAATGTACATTACTGATCTTGAGGGGAAAAAAAAAACCCTTGCATCCAGATCTTCCAAAATCAATGGATGATCTCAGTGAATATATTTTTCTGTTTCATTAAAATTTAATTTGGAAAGGAAAACTTAGCTTACAATACAGGGCTGTAATTGGTGACTAATTTAGTCGCCATTGTGCTTAAAAATTATGATTGGTGCCTAAAATTTTTCTATAAGTCGCCAAATTGGCGACCATTTTAAATTTACTTGGTGTTCATCAAATAACCGAACTATAAACATTTGCAATTTTTATTTTATAAAGAGCAGAAAAGAAGTTAAATAATTAGCAATGGACATATCTCTATATATTGACTAATATCAGTTTTAAAAGTGATGCCTAAGAAAAATTTACCTGGCGACTAAATTTTTTTGATAAGGAGCCAGTCACATAGAGGCCTGCAATAAGCCTGTGACCTTTCTTTCTCCACAAGAATAAAAAAAATAAATGTTTGATGTCATTGAATAAATTTTTCTGTTGGATAAAAAGTGCTTTTAATATTTGCCTTTTTTAGTGAGAGCCATGGAAGGAAATTCACATCCACTAGGTGCCCTTCCTATGGGAACAATTGTTCACAACATAGAAAAGATACCTGGTCAAGGTGGGATGATTTGTAGAGCTGGGGGATCAAGTGCACTACTACTTAGAAAAGTTGGTGATAGTGTTGTGTTGAGAATGCCGTCAAAGCATGAGATAGTACTTGATCCTAAATGTATGGCAACAGTGGGACAAGTGTCCAATGCTGGCCATGATGACATTCCGTGGAAGGGGGTGGGGGAAAAAATGCGATCCGGATACAAGCCGCGGACAGGATGGAGACACAGGAAAACTGGATATCATGGGAGGAAGATAAAGCCAAAAAAGACTTTTACTGTCAAGCCTATAGTTCCAGATTATGAAACTTTCAAAATGTCTGGGGTCTGATTCGTGAAAAGCCATTATAGACTGTATTCATTATGAATGAAAGCTTGTTTGTAGGTTTTGTTGAAAGTGATAAATATGATACATATAAATAATTATTGTATGCTTAATAATACAGTTAAACTTTGGTATCTCGAATACAGATATTCAAATACCATGGATATCTCGAAGTGATTGGGAAGTATTTCATAAGGATTTTACCCTTGATATCTCAAAGTTTTTTATTGGTCCCATCGAGTTCGAAATAACAAGGTTTGACTATATGTGGACCTTTTCATAAAAAATCTAACGACTAAGATGAAAATCTTTTCAATTCTCCAATTAACATCTAAGCTTTAGTATAATAGATTACATTGTATACAATACATGTATTTTAGAAAAAAATATCTATAATAAACAAAGAATTACAGACTTGTCAAATTTTTATCGTAGTTGTAAGATTTTTGTGAAAAGGGCCACTGGTCATCATGTTATCTTGGTTAACTAATCAACATGCCTTATGTTTGTAACAGGAAAGGAGAAAATGGCTGGACCGGGAATGGAACCCGGGACCCCTGCATCACTAGTCAGGGGCTCTACCGACTGAGCTGTCCATGGCCCAAACCATTTCATGTGTGTACCACTATAGATGCAAATTTAGGAAACCAGATCTTTCAGCTTACTGCAATAGGATACTAATGGGAAAGACTGGCATACTGTTTGCTGGTTTTGATAAAGCATGTTTACAAATTCAGTGTTTATTTAAGATTTTGACTAAGTAATGACATAATAATACAATGTTGATGTGTTTACAATTATATCAATATATATTCAGGCCCGTAGTACGCGGGAGGGGGGTCACTTCTTTGAAGTAGTTTTACTGTCGGTGTAAAGTGTCATTTTGAGCCGAAAACTCCTGAGCCTTTCTGATCAAAGTTTGTCCATTGTTGCTGTTGTTAGCTTTTACATTTTAGACTACATTGTATTTTTAAAGAACCAACTGGTCAATTTCAATCAAATTTGCCACAAAGCACCCTTTGGTGAATGGGATTTAAGTTTGTTGAAGGGGAAACAAGAGGTGTGTGGGCAACAATGCTCACCTGAGTCACCCTGGCCCTGCTGTTTTGGAGATTTCTAAAAAAATATCCCCCTTTATGGGAAGATGATTTTGGGTATGTGTGTAATTTTTTTGAGTCAGATTATTTACTTTCATGCAAGTCAGGAGAGATCATTAATTTTCTTCAGCGCAGAAAATATCTTGAAGAAAAGGAAATGAAAACTGCTGAACTCCAAAACTCTATTTGGGATGGGATGGATGGGGTAGTATTCAGGAACAGATTATTTTCTTGCCAGTTGAGGACAAATTAATATCCCCCCCCCCCTCTCTGAATCAAAGGCTTGTCCTCTCATTCCCACGAACAATTTGACTCAATACTGTGACCCCACCTAAGCCCCTTTACAATGGATTATGATTAAACTGAACTTTAATCCACACAACATGGGCTTGCCTCAGTATCAGCGTGGACCCATCCTATCCCATGGGCCAGAATCTGAAAACATTTGAATCTGTAGCCGCTGGGTATGTTTGCTTATTAATTTCACTCGTCATGAATCTGCTGTTCTTGAGAAGATTCTAAATTTCCCCCCCCATATATTCCTATGTAAAAATTTGATCCCTTATTGTGGTCCCATCATATGCCCGGAGGCCTTGATTTGAATAAAAATCTACACTACCTGAAGATGCTTGCTTATAAATATCACTTGTCATGACTGCTGTTCTATTAAGATTTTCAAAGATACGTATTTTCTATTTATTCCAATAAAAAACTGTTGCATTAATGGGGCCCCATTTTACCCCGCGGACCATGATTTGAACAAGCCTGAATTTGCACCACTGGATGATGCGTGCGTATTTCTATCGCTTATCATCTCGGCTATTCTTGAGAAGGAGATCTTAAAACACTTTTTTCACTATATTTATATGTAAAACTTTATTGCAGCCCCATCAAACCCCATAAGGTCATGATTGACATGATTGAACAGACTTGAATCCACACTTTGTCAGAAAGCTTTCAGATAAGTTTCAATTTTTCCTGATCCAGTGTATCTTTTGAAGATTTTTCAAGACATCCAACCTATTTTTGCTTTTTCTTGATTATATCCCGTTCCAGTGGGACGTGCTCCTTTATTTGAACAAATTTGAATCCCCTTCTGCAAGGATTCTTTTCACCAAGTTTGGTTGAAACTGGTTCAGTGGATCTGGAGAAGTAAAAAAAAAAATGTGAAAAGTGTACGACGATGACAATAGCAACAACGACGACAAAAAACGGACAAATTCCGATCAGAAAAAAAATCAGTTGAACGTTTGGTTCAGGTGAGTTAATCTAAAGTTTCTTCAGAGTTGCATGTATCTTTCCTCAGAAATTACGTGAGAGGAATTCCTTATAATTTTAATGCCATCTTAACTATTTAAAATAATACACAACTTTCTCAAACCCTCTCAGAGGAGGCACAGAACATCCTTGGAGATTGAAGGGGATTCAAAATTGTTTATTGAAAAAGGTGAAGCTAACGAATAGTGATCGATTTAAAAAATCTATCAACAATTCTGTGAAGAGGGCATAAAACACGGATCTCGTTATTCCAAAGGTGGGATCAGGTGCCTACATGAAGGGCAGTGCCCCCTTACAAAGAGAAATGATTATAACAAAAGAAAAATAGGAGGGGTCTTTTTTTTTTCTTTTTTTCTTTTTTTAAAAAAATCATTATTATCCTAATGTTGAATATATTCCTTTTATCCAATTCATTGCCCATTGGTGTAGTGTGTTGCCACAATAGAGGATTATAAAAAAAAAGATGGTTGTGCCAAGGTGTTTCTAAGGTGAGTGCTGTTACACTTAATTCACTTGTTAATTTTACTTAATATTGCCATGGTAACTGCTTAAAGTGAGCAAACAATTTGTCAAACATCATTATAACTGTTTATGTACTAAAATGTGTTTTGGCCAGAATGACTAGGATGATTCATTTTAAATTCATTTCAAAGTACAGGTAGATGTATGTAATTATATGGTAATTGGGGTAATTTATTTTTTAGTTACACTGTAATGAGAACAAAAATTACCTTAAAATCAAAATCTTTTGTACTTCATTATATGTTAATAACGTCTGGTGATGGATTAAAATGCTGTTTTTCTGTGATGACGCACATAGCTTATATTTATACATCATTTAGTACAGTAATTAAAATAAAGTTTTCCCCTATGATTACGAGTTCTCATTTCTTCACATCGCAGAATTCACCAGATTTCTGTATATGCATACGATCTAGAGAAATTATATTCATGTACTTTTAATATCGAGTTATCCGTAGAAATTTGTGTTGACATGTTTGCTCCCACCTTCAGAGAAAGTAATTAATATGCTTGGATTAACCAATCAGCATAATCGGTAAAGGAAACAATATTGCTTAAGCATATTTAGTAAACCCATTCCCTCTCACATTGGTCTCTCCGGGTCTTTAAACATTTAATGTACAAAGATAAGGAATTTTTATCTCGTTTTCAGCTGAAAGCTCAAGTGAGCTTTTCTTATCACATTTTGTCTGTAGTCCGTCTGTCTGTCTAGCTGTCTGTGCGTTCGTCCGTCTGTAAACTTTTCACATTTTCGACTTCTTCTCCAGAACCACAGGGCCAATTTCATTCAAACTTGCCACAAAGCATCCTTGGGTGAAGGGGATTCAAGTTTGTTCAAATGAAGGGCCACGCCCTCATTCAGGGGAAATAATTCAGAAATAGTGAAAATTTGGTGGCATATTTTAAAAATCTTCTTCTCAAGAACCACTGGCCCAAAAAAGTTGAAACTTATAGGGAACCTTTGTTACATAGTGTAAATTCAAGTTTGTTCAAATCATGACCCCGGGGGTAGGGTGGGGCCATAATGAGGGATCAAAGTTTTATATAGGAATATATAGGAAAAAATCTTCAAAAATCTTCTCAAGAACAGCAAAACCTTGTTTAGTCATATTGATATGTAAGCATCCTCAGGTAGTGTAGATTCAAGTTTGTTCAAATCAAGACCCCTGGGGTTAAAATGGGGTCACAAGGAATATATAGGGAAATTTTTTTAAAAAAATCTTCTTCTCAAGAACAGGAAAGCCTTGTTTAGTCATATTGACATGGAAGCATCCTCAGGTAGTATAGATTCAAGTTTGTTCAAATCATGACCCCTGGGTTAGGGTGGGGCCACAAGGGGGGATCAAAGTTTTACATAGGAATATATAAGGAAAAATCTTTTTCTCAAGAACAGCAAAGCCATGTTAAGTCATATTGATATAGAAGCATTCTCAGGTAGTGTAGATTCAAGTTTGTTCAAATTATGACCCCTGGGGTAAGGTGGGGCCACAAGGGGGATCAAAGTTTTACATAGGAATATATTAAAAAAAAACTTTATTAAAAATCTTCTTCTGAAGAACAGCAAGGCCATGTTTAGTCGTATTGATATGGAAGCATTCTCAGGTATTGTAGATTCAAGTCTGTTCAAATCATGACCCCTGGGGGTAGGGCGGGGCCACAATGGGGGATCAAAGTTTTACATAGGAATATACAGGAAAAATCTTCAAAAATCTTCTGCTCAAGAACAGCAAAGCCATTTGTTATATTGATATGGAAGCATCCTCAGGTAGTTTAAAATTCAAGCCCCCCCCCCCCCCCCCCCCGTAAACTTTTCAATACTGAATTGATTTGTGCTTTTTCCAAGCCATTGTGCTCAGTTGAGCGATGTGGCCCATGGGCCTCTTGTTATTTATCTATTACTTTAAGCCTACCTGATCATTAAAAACCATGAAAGTACCTTTTATATTATGTATTAAAAATTCTTGTATATATGTAATTCTTTTATTCAATTGACCTATAAAATACATTATTTACAGTGGTTAATTTTCATAGGTGAATAGCAAAGAGGAATAACTTCTATCAGTTGAATACAGATTTCAATACAAGATCAATAGAGCCCTGCCCAGCACCAGAAACACTTGACCCAGTGGTCCAGAATATCACAAATCTGGTAAAAAAAAAAACCCTTGCCCAATACAATTTTGCATTGGGCAAGGGTATCTTTTTAAAGAGGATTTTCAAAACATTTTCACAATATAATCAATAGGGTCCCACCTGGACCCATGACCCAGGGACCATGAAGTTTTGAAAGAGGCATCCTTGTCATCATAACGATGCACTTACTTTGCTTAATACGCAGGAGCAGAGAAAAATATTTTCAAAGAATTAATGCTAATCATTGCACTTATCTTGTTTGTTTAATACCCAAGAACAGAGAAGAAGATTTTCAATGAATTAATGAATTTTCTCTATATATTCAACAGAGCCCCACACTAACACCAGAACCCCAGACCCAGGGGCCATGAATTTCACAATTTTGGAAGAGGCACTCTTACTTGTCATAACCATGCACTTAGTTTGTGAGCTTATTAAAACAGGGGTAGAGAAGAAGATTTTAAAGTATCAATGCATTTTCACTATATTATCAATATAGCCCCACCCTAGCTTTAGAACCCCTGACCCTGGGGCTACGAATTTCACAATTTAGTTAAAGAACTCATTGCTTGTTATAATCATGCCAACAGTTTGACTGCTTGATGTCCAGGCATAAAGAAGAATATTTTTGAAAATTGCATTAATTTGGATGGTTTTTGGCCCCACTCCTTATGCCCAGGGGGGGGGGGGGCAGGAATCATAAAATATACAGTTTTTGTCCCACTTTACCCATAGATGCTCTACACCAAAATTGGTTGAAATTGATTGAGCGCTTTATGAAAAAAAAATGAAAATGTTCAAAAAGTTTACGATCGACGGACGACGAACGACGACAGACAAAAAACAGATAGCAATTGCTCACCTGAATGACTCTGGTGACTTAAAAATAGTTTATTTCATATATCAACTCAATCATATGTCAACTCAATATATCCGAGGACATCACAGAATCTGCCACATTATTTTCCACAATCACCTGCATATGAGGTTTATATCTCCCAACTATTAAACTGATTCAATATTAAAGAACATGTTCTGAGTATGATCAGATTTTAAACAGAGGCAGGCTAATGACACATCTCGTTTTTAGTCAGCAAAGTTTCGCATATTACATGGTCTTTAAAAATACTATTAAATACAACCTATTGTTTTGACCTGATCCAACCTCCAGAGGTCAACTTTTTTGCCCTATCAACAATTTTTAAAAAAAGACCAACGAATTGATTTTTTTTTTAAATCAACTTGTCGATTATATTTTTTAATTGTAGCATTATATTGTGTATACGTTTTAGTTAAAAATTCCGAAGTTAAAATAAAATTGACAAATGGATAAAAGAGTTTAAGAATTTTTATTTTTAGAGCTTCATTTGAAAAAAAGAAACAAATATGACTACATTCTAAAAGACTTTTTTGAAATACATAATCAAAAAATGTATTTGAAAAAATCTTTTAAACCTGTTTCAGGTATATAAATGATAAGATCTAAACCTTCATTGGGTTTCTCCTCTTGTATATGTGAAAAAAGGCTTTCAATTTGTTATTTAACATTAATTGTCTCAATTTTAGTTTGAAAAGTTTTGATATGAAAGAACTATGATGTAATAAATTGTCCAAAAATTACTCTTTGTCAATTAAGTCAAACTTTCAAATCTAAGCCAAAACAGAAGTTTGATTAAGTAGGTTTTATTATAAAAATACTTGATTTTAAAGTGATACTATTAACCTAGCTTTATTACACTTTATTACACTCCTGACATCAAGTGTATTTTTTTTTTTAAAATCAAACATTGTTTAAAAATTTTTACACACAATATCTCATGCCATTTTCTTAAAGCAGTTCGTTCTTGATATATTTTTTTATCATTTACGGGAAGATTTTATATTTTCTTGACTTCAAATTATGCTTATTTGCTTATGTAATATATGTTTTTTAAAGTATATATTTGATAATGAAAACTATTCTGTAAATTGACTTACAATGTACAAATATATCTGTGATTTGTTGATATACATATTGATTTAAACTACAAATAATGTCAACCATTTTCTATAATTTATTTTGTGGTAAAGAGAGATGAAGATCATTGATAATTATAAAACAGTTTTGTTGCACTCCTCACTACAGTTAAGATTTAAAAGTAAAACCACCAAAAAAAACCAAAAAAAACAACAACAACAAAAATTCATAAAATTTTGGCAACATCAAGTTGTGGTGAAACTGTGCAATATCTATTGTCTAATACTTCATGTATAAAAAAGCATAAATTGTTAAACTTGGCCTAATATCACAAATTTTTCCTAATAATGTCGTAAATCTAGCTTAAAATATATTAAGAAGATAAAAATATATTCAATAGGACACTTCACTTCATTGGAAAAATACTGTTAGCAATTGAGGTGAACCAGAAACATTATACTCATCAATTTTTGTCTATATTTATTCAAATGTGATTATTGATATTTCTAACATTTTTTGTACTACTGGCCAAGAGCAAGTGATACTTTACAGTAGAATTGTGACTTACATCCGAACATGGTTTAATTTTTTTAGTAAAGCCATAGTGCAATTATCTGAATTTTATTACAACTTTTTAAGGGTTGATTTTTACTAGGGATGTCAATTTTGTCAATAATTCATATTCGAATATTCAATGAAAGTATTCGAATATATTCGAATATTCGATAAAATAAATCTGTTTTATTTTAAATATGCATCATCCTACTCTCATGAAAGGTTTAGCGTAGGTATACTTATATTTGAAGTAAAATTGAATGAAGACATTTGTAAGTGTATACACGTATGTAAGTACAATAAGAAATTCCATTTGATATTTGTGAATGTTTGAAATAAATAATTGATTTAAATGTAGAAAAGTATAATTTTAACAAATGAAACGTGTATTTATAGTAGCTCCAACTGAGGAACCAGTCGTTGTACAAAAGGCATTCATTCATTCATTCTTTCTTTATTTCCTCCTATTGGAGATTCATTAATTATACAAAAATACACATTCAACGAAAGTTACTTCACATAGGTGCTATTATGTACATTAGTGTAAAAGTTAACAAAAGGATGAACTTAATCCGGAAAATGTTTGCATGTGAGTTTGCAACAGAGTTAGAGCACAGAGGCTACAACTGTCCGGTCCATTCAAGGGAACACGGTTGTCTTTCTGTAGTACGCCGCTGCCACATCTCTTATAAAGCGAAAATTAAGAA